TTAAATGCACCTCTTGAGTTGGGATTTTGTCACTTGCAACCAATGGTCCCATGTTAGGAGGGAGCAGGGAGCTCACACTGCCTGAGTTCTCAGTCTATGCCAGGCCCAGGGCTTCCTTTTTACTATTGACCTGGGCCTTGAAAGGTGCCTAAGAAGTTCATATGACCTCAAGGAGGAGAGACAAGGGAAGAGATGGGGGAAGGCAAGCCCAGGAAACAGAAGAGTTCCCTGAACCCTCTAGAGCATAGGAAGCAGTTGGCAAGAGACTGGCTGGCTAGGTGGTCAGGTGAAGGAAGGCTTTAAATGAAAGTAGGTCTGGACATTGTCCTGAGGACGGAGGACGGAGAGTTTTAAGCAGGGCAGAGACAGGATCTGCTTTGGGCTCTCGTGGGCTCCCTCTGCGAAGGGGAGGACACAACAACATAGAAAGGAGAAATAGGACAGAATTAGTTTCTGGGGGGAATTTTTCCTAGTGCTCCTGCAGTTTGATTCTGCATGTCACTTCTTTCTCATGTACTTGGTGCAAGATGGCACAGGGTAGTCAATAATACAGGCCCCTGGAGCCACCCACTTGGGGCTAAATCCCAGCTGTGCATAGGCTTGTTACTGAACACCTACATGCCTCAGTTTCCCCAATAGTGATAATGGCATTATCTCCCTCCTAGGATTCATTGTATGGATTAATCCGGTCACTACACATTTAGAATGTAGCCTAATGCTTGGTGACAGAGGTGCTAGCAGAGCCAGAGCCACCGTGGATGGCCTCAGGAAATCATACAATTTTAATGTTACAGTGTGATTTTTAGGGCTATTCTTCATGACAACAAGAGTGCTGTGTAGGAGAAGGTTCAGCGCGGGGTTCACTCAGCCCCCTATATCCACCAGTCAGTTGAATAGAGACTTGAGTGTATCAGACGTCACGTGCGCTTGGGCACCTACGAGTGTAAGCGGCAGTAATACTGATACCATCAGCCTACCCACGCATGTGTGTGCCTGTGAAGATGGACACTTATTGTTACTAAGCAAACATGTAAGTTTTCTTATTATTAAACTCAGGCTTGGGTTATTTACAAAAATAATTTAATGAGTTAAAAATAGCTTTTTTGGTAGCTGTGGTATACAGAAAGTATAAAAATGGATCAGAGCTGGCCAAATAGCTCAGAGGATTAAAATGCCTGCTTAGGCAGATGCAGCAGCTGGGATTCGATCCCCTGCATGTCATGCCAGCCCTATACCCATTATTTCTGGGGCACATAGAGATGACTGAGAAAGGCTGTCTTCAAAGAAGTCAGTTCCTTCATTTATTTTTCTTGCATTTATTCACTTACCCACCTCCTCATCAAAAAATATATCTTTATACATGTATTTGTTAATCATTCCTTAATCCTAACTGTCTTTATAATCCAATCAGCTTCCAAAAGCCCCACAATATGCAAATGAGGCTTGAGGGGGCATCTAGATATAAATCCTCAAAATGACTTTTTCTGTGCCATTAAATGACACAGCTAAATGTCACAAATTTCAGGAGGCAGTGAAAATTACACTAAAGCAATTTTATTTAACTATCGTCACATATTAACCTATCTAGCATAGCTTTTAATAGGACACTAATGATGGTGAGTTACAAGGGAAGGGGACCCATAAAATTAATAGAAGATGGTGCAGTTACTACTAGCAATTCACATTCGATGAAATATTGCTGCATAATACATCAAGAACATTGATGTGTGGAAGCTTTAACAATGGATAATGCCATGGAAACTGTCATCAAAGCCATGAATTGTGTAGGGTCTAAGGATCAGGATCATCAATTTCAAGAGTTCCTTAAAAGTGTGGATACTGTTTATAGGGATGTTGTTTACTTTTCTGAAGTAAACGGGCTGAATTGGGGTAAAATGTTGAAAAGATTTTGTGATTTTAGAGAGGAAATCAAGTCATTTATGGACTCCAAAGGCATATTTGTGCCAGAACTTGAAAAGTAGCTCATAGATTTAGCATTTTTTTTTTTTTGGTGGATCTGCCTGCGAATTTAAAAATTACTTAAACAGGTGTTTTCAAGGTAAAAATTGACTTATCCATGCTATGTTTCAAATTGTAACAGCTTTCAAAATAAAATTTAAATTATTGCAAGCTTAGGTTGTGGCAAACAGTTTTGTGCTAGGTACCCATGGTCTTGCTAAACCCATCCCTTAGCTAACTTTCCATTACTGTAACCAAATGCTTGAGGCAAACAACTTGAAAATTAGAAAGTTACACTTTGGCTCACAGTGTTGGAGGTTTGAGTCCATGCCCAGTGGCTACACCATGTCATGGTAGGGTTACACTGTGGAAGGGCCTCGTCTCCTTCAAGGAACACCCTTCAAGGCCTAACATCTCCCACTGGGCCCCATTTCTTCCATCATTTCCTAATAGCACCAGCTGAGTGCTAAATCTTATCTATCACAGAGGCCTGTGGGGGACACCCAAGATGCAAAGTATAGCAGCATCCTAAATTGGAAATATAAGCTAATAATGCATGTAAGACAGCTAACCTATCCACCAATCATCATAGCCACTTAACAACATGGTACACAGAACATGAGCTGTTTCCCCTGGGGAGCTCGTGGCCGACTAGGGGCTGTGACTCACACTGCACAGGGTTGCCAGAGAGTGTCATGCTGCATTACATTGCTAGCCAGGGAGATGATCAAAGTTAAAAATTTGAAGTAAAGTTTCCACTCAATGTCTATGGCCTTTGTACCATTGTGAAGTAAAAAAATCAAAGTGGAATCACCCTAAGTCAGGGACCCTCAGTGGTTGGTAGCCATCATTGCTGTAAAGGTCAGTGGTGGGTATGAGGAGGCCCAGGCTGCAAACCCCAGGCCCCAGGAGGACAGCTGTGGCCCTCTGCCCTCCCCACCTGCCCTCTCCAGGGGTCTGAGCCTGCCTCTTCCAGTTCTCACAGAAGCTGGGCCAGCCTGGGCCCCAGGGATCAGGGAAGTGTCACCACGGGGCAGGAGAGAACAGGGCTCATGAAACAGATTCTTATTTAAAGCTGAGAATTGAGGCTTGGCCTGGGGCTGGGTGGGAATGAGCTTCCCAGCCCACAGAGGCCCGCAGGGAGCATCCCAGAAGCAGAGGTCATATACTTTCACCCCAACTGCAAGAGGCAGAGGTGAGGGGCTCAAAGCTACCAGCTCCACGACTCTGGGGACACTGTGGGAAGCTACTTCAATGAAAAAGACAGAATGCCAAGAACTCAGAGTCAAAGAGATCCTTCAGTTCCCAGCCTTCTGGGGGCTGTGTTTCCACTGTGGGGTGCAGCTGAAAGCACCCTCACTAATCACTTCCTCCTTAACCTCAACATCTAGGGATGGAGGTTTTCTGGACATCTAGAGATGAGGGTTATGCTCTAAGGGTGGCAACAGGGGGTCACTAGTAGCTGGATTTGATGAGCTGCTAGTGGCTGCTGAGGGGAGGTTAGAGGGGATGGAGGCAATGGGTCTACCTTGAGTGATGAAGGACAAGTGTCACATGGACCAAAGAGGCCTGGATGTGCTTTGATCCTCTCTACTCAATCTTGGTCCCTGATGTGATCCCTATGTCTCAGTCCTCCTGTGGACTCCAGCCTCAGCCATAAATCTCATGGCCCCCGAAGCTGGTCAGGAACTGATTTAGGTTCCCCAACTTTATACACATTTTCTGAATTCTTCTAGATTGAGTTACATTCCCAGCTGTTTTATTTATTTATTTATTTATTTTTGAGACAGCATCTCACTAAATCGCCAAGTTGTCTGCCTGGGCTGGGGTTGTACTGTCAGTCCTCCTGCTCCAGCCTCTCAGAGTGCTGAGATCACAGGAAGGTACCACCATGCCTGGCTGATCTTTCTACTTCTTAACTGATTAATGCCAATTGATCTGCTATGTCCTTTAGGTCAATAAGTACAACTTTCAAAAGGGAATTATTTCCGTGATCAAATCAAGGAATAATGTAGCCCATATAGCCTACTAGCCACAGGCTAGGGGCCTTGGAGTTGGTTTCTGAACTCAGGTGAGTTAGATCAACTAAACCGAGTCAGGTGGTGGAGCAAGGGTAGGTGAAGGTGCTCTGAGATCGGCACCGATGAAGATGGTGATGAATATGGGACCAGGAACTCCACCTTAGGGCCTTCACACTGAGCTACATCTAGCCCTTTTAATTTTGAGTTTGAGACTGAGTCTTGCAAAGTGGCCCATGCTAACCTTGAACTTGCAGTCCTCCTGCCTCAAGCCTCCAGGAAGGATGGGACTAGTCATGTACCACCATGTCCTGCTAGGCAGTGATTTTTGACAGCATGTCCAGACTGAGCTCTGCAGAAGCCCAGGGAGCTGGTGACAGCTCCATCATAAGATGCTCCCAGGCCATGAGGCTGCCACCACAAGAGCTGGAGCTCCAGGACACAGTAAATCAAAACCATCCTCCAGTCCCAGCTCTCAGCGATGTCATGCTTTCTTGTCTTGCATTTGTGTGAGGTTCCTAGGATTTGAATGGGATTTGCCACACCATTTTCCCCTAGAGCTAGAGTCCTGAACCCCTGTGACCAGAAGGCCCAGAGTTGCCCTGCTGAGGCCTTGGGGTGACATTCCTGTTTCTGCCCCTTTCTTCCTCCATGAGGTTCTATTTGAGGTATCTCGTGGAGGGGCTGGACTCCCTGCACCCCCCTCCTGCCCCATCTCGGTGATCCTAGGAGAAGTAGCTATGGTCATGTCCTTGAGAGAGAACAAGGGACCCCACACCTTAGGGTGACCCCCTGGGGTCTCCTGCTTCTAGAACAGAGCAAATGCCCTGCCACCTGGACCTCTTTCCTGGCTTCTCTGCTAAGAACACCCGGAAGCCCTGCCCACCTGGTTTTCTACTGTCTCAGCTCTGCGCCAAACCAACCCCAGGCCATTTCATCACCTCTTCACACCAGACCCAGGTCACAGCACAGGGACCTGCTTCTCATCCTTGGATAGCAGCCAAAGCCATAAGACTTTTTATTGGACAGCCTTGAATTCACTCTCACAGGCTGGAAAAGAAACCTGTTTATTTTATCAGTGAGCTGGGAGTAGTTTGCAGCAGCAGTTACAGCAGGAGACAGGTTAGAGGGATGATGGTGGAGAGAAAAGAGAGACTGGGGTCCTAGATGAGGCTCAAGGGAGGAGTCCCCAGAGCGGGGAGAGGCCAGAGTCATGGGCCAGAAGGACAGGGTGCTCCCTCCCTTCTGTGCTGGCCTTCAGCAGAGCTGCCGGAAATGCTCCTTGTCCAGCCATCATTCTGGGCCACAGGGCTGGCAATTCGTGGGTGCTGTGCCAGGTTTCAGGGACACTTGCTGGCAGACTTGCAAGACTGACGGCAGCTTTGTTTTGAAGGGGTAGGGCCAGGGCTCACATTTTCTAGGGGTGAAATTGTTTTCTCTCCCCAGACTTTAGAAGAAAGTCCTGTGGGGAAGAAGAAACAGACAAGGCAGGTGGAGGAGGCCTTGTGGGTGACACAGTCCTGGCGAGACCCCTCTGGGAGCTCCAGGCCCTGCCGATCACACAACATCCCTCTTGGTGCAGCCCTGAGCAGCTTCACACCAGTCACAGCCACAGCACACAGGAGGCAGGAGAAAGCAGGGAGGGATGAGGGTGGAGGGTGCTGGGAGGAAGAGGAACAGGATTCCCTGGAAGAACAAGTGACAGAAAACAGAAGCCCACTAAGGCCATGCCAGGAGCTGGGACTCCGGAGGCCAACTGTCCTGGGAGCCTTGATGTTTTTGAAAACTTGTTAGAGAAAAGCCAACTTGTGAGAGTCCAGGTTTGGATCTGTCCCAGGTGCCACCCGTGAACTTTAGGCCACATGCAACCTCATTTGACAGAGAACTACTTCCCAAATCTGGGCTCTACAGTGTCCCACAAATAGAGTCCCAGTCAAGGGAGGCAGAAGGCAGGACAGTGTGGGATGCACCACAGGATGTGAGTGGTGTGAACCCACCACCCCTGGTTCTTTGGACCAGCCTTAAAGAACTCGTAAGAGTCTGGGCCAGGTGGAGCAGGAGCTCCAGCAAGGTGGTATGTGGGAAAAGGAGGCATATCTGGCTCAGGGCACCCCTGGGGGACATTCAGGCTGGACACCTGTGGGCTCTCCCAGCTCAGCATGCTTGGCTTAAGGCATTGGCTCTGTCAGTAAACAACAAAGCACAAAACCTGAGCCCATTCACAAGGCTCCCGGGACACCTGTGTCCCAAGCCAGAGGTCCATGCCAGATGGTGCCTTATGCTCCTGCCGGATGCCAGTCCAAAGAACCCGCCTGCAATGTGGGCAGCATGTGGCCACCACACCAGGCGTGGACAGATGGCCTGCTGCCGCCTGTCTATTCACCGTGGGCTCCAGCTGCAGGAGAAACCCGTGTCTGTACACGGGAGCACCGGCTTCAAGGAGCTTTCGGACCAGCTGGGGGCTTTCAGCTGCAGAGTTGGAAGAAGAGCTACATATGCAGAGCAGATTAGGAAATAAAAAGGACTCGGTTACTCCCAAGCATGGCTCTGCCCAGCCTCTCCTTGCTCTTGGCTCCCATCTTGGGTCCTGCCTAGGCCCTGGGTGGCAACCTCAGGAACAAGACAAGTGGGGAAGTCGGACTGTACTGGGCAGGAGGAACCAGCAGGCATGGATGTGACAGTGAGGGTGCGAGCAGAGGGTGGTGACCTGGGGACAGAGACCCCAGCAGAGACAGACAGACAGCAACAGAAGCAGAGAGAGGGGGACCAAGAGTCAGGAACAAGCAAAGGGGAGATGTGGGGGGGAGGGGGAGGAGTAAAGAAAAAGGGAGGGGGAGAGGCAAGGGGAGGGGGAGGGAGAAAAGGAGGGAGACAGAGACAGAGAGAGAGAGAGAGAGAGAGAGAGAGAGAGAGAGAGAGAGAGAAGAATAGAGAGAAACCAAGACTGAGACCAGGACTGAGAGGCAGAGAAAAAAGACAGGGACAGCTAGGGAAAGATGGAAGGGAGAGAGGGAGGACAAAGGGACAGAGACAGACACAGGCAATCACAGAGAAAGCAGGAGCAGGCCAAGCTCCCCAGAGAGCCCAGTGCGGGGACAAAAGCCTGTAGCCTGGCTGCCTGGAGACACAGAATGAGAGGACACAGTCAGACATCAGGATGATCTTGCTGGGACTGACAGAGGGATACAGGAGTCGTTAGTGAGTACAGAACCAAGAATCGAGTCTTTGTCCCAACTTCACTGTGTGCTTGGTCCAAGACCTTGTGCTTCAGTTTCCCCATATGACAGCCTTGGGGGTGGCTCTGACACTGCCTGGGGACAGTGATTGGTTCTGGGTCTTCTCTAGCCCAGAGTGCTCTAGGACCCACGAATATGAGCAGCAGGGGGCCTGGGCCAGTTCTGTGACTGGGGGAGGCTGGGAGAAGGTGACCAAGATGCTGGGGGAAAAAGAGGCCAGGTGTCTGCACACTTACAGCTCGTCATCGTACTCCTTGGGGGGGCAGACAGCCACCACGAGGTCGATCCAGTCCTGTTGGGAGAAGTCATGGGACTGTGGGGTGCACTCGGGTAGAGGGTGCATCTGCCCTGAGGCCTCAGGTCTTTGCCTGGGCCCACCGCTCGGTCAGCCATCTGTGCTTGCTTCCCATGGGGAAGTGGACATAGGTAGAGCTGGGGTCCTCCTGCCCAGCAGGGGTCCCACTGTGAGGTCCCAGGCTCTGGGGGACATTTCCAGTCTCCACAGCCTCCCAGCTATAGAGATGGGAGTGCCAGGCCCTCAAGTAATGCTAGGTTCCCCAAGGCTCCTCTGTGGACCAGGGCCAGACAGCATCCTCAGGACCACTGGAGGGGATTTGTAAAAGCTGGGGACTCTTGGTCTTGGTTCCTAGAGTCTAGGATGGTCCTGGTGTTTCTAACACTCTCCTCAGGTAATTCCAAGGCATGTCACCTGGAGGAGTCTGACCTCCCTTTCTGACTCTTAACACCCGAGGCCCCTCAGTAGCATCTCCGCCATCTTTGGCTCACCAGTAAGCATCCATCCTGGGCTTGTGTATATCCCCAAAAATTATCTGAAGTAGCACTGGCCCATTTACCACGTGACAGCTCCTGACCTGAACTGAGATCTTGCTCCCCAGAGCCACCCTCCATCCAATTCAGCTTTGCCCTCCAGAATCACAGAGCACCTCTGCTCCCTCTGCTCTAAGGCAGCCCTTGAGACAATCAAAGATGGTCATCGCGTTACCCGTAAGTCTTCTCTTCTCCACATCCCTTCATGTGGGTCCCAGGCCCATCTGGTCTGCATCCTCGGCACTGAACTTAATACCTCAGGCTCGGCTGCCTGCATACAGTTACACAGGTTGTGCTTTGCACAACGTGAGTGGGCACCACTCGCACCATCGTGTCTCAGAGGGCACCCCCTCAGAATGTGCAGTGCACAGCCTGTGGGACACCTTTCACGGTGGGTGTCTAGTGCACACAGAGCTGGCTACCACCAGCTCCTCCTTCAAACTGGGCTAGGTCTGTCAGTGCTTTCCAGTGTCCCCAAGCACCTGCGTCCTATTCAGTGTGTAGGGACACAGCCATGACCAGTCTCCTGGAGTCTGTTTGTGCCACTACTATCCAATTTGGTCCATTGGCTGGATGAGGGGGAGTATATGTCAGTCACTCGGAAGGTGGTTGCATCTTAGCTGTCTCCCTGGGATGAGGCTCCCAACTCTGAGGCCTGACTACAGAGGCCAGGGGCTCAGGCATGTAGGAGAGGAAGGGGCTGGGTCTTACCCCGCCTTGGTTCCAGGCCTTCTGCAGGGCAGCCTCCGCCTCAGCCAGGGTGTAGTCCGTCACGATCTTGCCATTGATCGCCATGATCTCATCCCCCTTCACAATGCCACCTGCAGGAAAAGGGAGCTGACTGGCAACAGGAATGCATAGGTCACATGCCCAGCCTGGGGCTTGCAAGAGAGAGTCACTGTGGGCGCAGGAGAAGCCAGCCTTGGGCTCCGAAAGCAGGAGGGAAACACTGCTCCCAGTCAACCGCAGGTGTTTCCTGTCTGGCTTCTTCTCACACCCTCTCCTCCAGGACACTCAGAAAGACTTGTGGTCATAGCTCCTGTGTGGACCCTGATTACCAGAGAGGGGACAGACCTGCATTTCCAGGAGGTTGACAAGAGACTCTAGCTAATTCCACAGCTGTCCTCTTTCCTGGTATCCAGCCATGCTGTCCAGCTTGGGGTCCCTCCAGCTCGTCCTTGCCCACAGCTTTGCAGGCTGTTCTTCCTAGAATGCCTTCTCTCTTTTTCTCCTCATCTGGGTCTGGTATGAATGTTTCCTCCACAGGGAGGACTTCCCTAACCCCATTTAATCAAAAGCAGCTCCTTCTGGCCTTCTTTTCCAGTGCCCTGGTCCCTCCCACATGGCATACAGTTGTGCTCCTAACTGCACTTTTAAAACTTGCCACTGGTGGTGGTCTCCACCGCCATGTGGTCAGTGCCACGATGACAAGCTTTGTCTTTTTGGTTCAGTCCTTTATTCCCAGCATTTTATATACATTGAACAAAAAAAACCAATCTCAATAGGTGACTGGGTGACTGGTGTTAAAAGGTGTCCCTGGATAAGCTGTCCTGTGATCTTAACAATTTGGGGGAAGAACTGAGTTATAAGGTAACCACGAGTTGCTAGGGCTGTGAGCTCATTACTACATAATGCGGCTGTCTAAGTGGACAGACTGTGCACGGTTTCCTACTCCTCTTTGGCTTCACAACCCTTGAGGAACTTCTCCCTGTCCTGACACTGAGATAGCACCTCCATGAAGCCCATGGGAGTGTGATATGTGCCACTGAGGATGGTGGCCATGGTGGCTTAAACCACAAGTGCTCCTAGGAACTTCCATCAGCCACATGTACAAAGAAGCACAGGACCAGACTGCAGACAGCATCCTCTGGAAGTGGAGCAGGTGACTTCCACTTTTTCTCTTTGTACAAATCCAAGATGGCACCTCAGGGCCAATAGGGCAGTGGTTGATCTAGGGCTTTGTAAGTGAGGAGGGCCAGAAAGAGTCACGTGGCCTAGTCTTCTCTCCCTGCCAGACAAGAAGACAGGTGGCCTTCATGGGCCAGGCAGCAGCCCTCCTTAGGAATAAGGTCATAGGAAGGCAACCAGCAACAGTCAGCCATGCAGCTACATCACTAGAAAGGCCCTTCCTTAAGGGGAGAGGAAGACCCAGAGTGTGTTGCAGGCACTGAGGCCATGGGTGGCAGAGCTGGCTCACAACCAGGGTGCATACCCACCTTGGTGACAACAGGAGCCTGGCTGCCAGCCATTGCATGCCTCTCCCTTTACTCCTCCTCCTGCCTCAGCCCCCACCTTCTAGCACCTCCAGCCCTCCCCACAGCAGGGGTCACACCAGCCAGGGTTGCCCCAGGTGTCCAGTCACAAGATTCCCGCTCAAGCCTGGGAAGGGAAGAGCAGGTGCTCCTCCTCTGTGAGTGCTGAGGAGCCCCTCAGACATGGCAGAAGACATAAGCAATGGTGGAGTCTCTGACTGTGTCAGAGGGGAAGGGGAGGAGTGTTTGAAGCAAGACACTGAGCCTGGCATCTGCAAAACTTCATTTGCCAGCAACAACTGCTTTTGTTGAAAAAAGGACAAAGAAAAAGCATTGAGAAAGACACAGACCACTGGGGGCTTCTGGAAGGGTCTAGGCTGCTGAGGCCCTCAGGCCAAGTGGCACTTAGGCTGTTAGGAAAGCCAAATGGCCAATCTGTCTGAATTCAAGTCCTGCCTTCACCTTTTACCAACTGAAGGTCCTCGAAGAAGTTTTGACTTTTACATGCCTCAGTTTCCTAAGCTGCAAAATGGGAATAATCATAACATCTCCACTGGAGTTTCCTGGAAAGACTTGGGCACAGGGGTGCACATATGCCGGGTGCTTAGAGTAGCGCCAACATGTTATTAGTTCCCCACATGCTATCATCACTAAAGGACAGGTATGATTTGGGTGGCTTCCTCCTGCCTCTCTCTGTGCTGTTCACTCCCGCAAAACCCTTTTTCCCTTTCATGAGGTTGACAGTGGATTTCTTTCTCTCTTTCTTTCTTTCTTTCTTTCTTTCTTTCTTTCTTTCTTCTTTCTTTCTTTCTTTTTCTTTCTTTCTTTCTTTTTTTCTTTCTCCCTTCCTTCCTTCCTTCCTTCCTTCCTTCCTTCCTTCCTTCTTTTTCTTCCTTTCTTTCCCTTCCTTCCTTTCTCTCTCCTTCCCTTCCTCCCTCCCCCACTTTCTTCTTTCCCTTTTTTTATTTTGAGACAAGGTCTCGCTATATAGTTCAAGCTGGCCTTGAACTCACTATGTAGCCCAGGCTGGTCTCAAACGCATGGCAATCCTCCCGCCTCAGCTCCTGCAAAAGCTGGGATTCCAACACGTGCTGCCATGACCAACCTGTGATTCATCTTCTAAGGCTGGGTTCAGCCACTGTCCTTCCAAGGGTCCTTCCCTTCCCCTCCCCCTCCCTGGATCCCCACAGCCTCTCTGTCCTCAAGCTCCCTGTTGGCTCTTCCTGAAGAGTATAGGTAGTATTTGGTTGTTCTGGGCATGTCTCTGCCTCTAGCCTGGGAGCCCCTGGAGGGCAGCATAGCATCTGGCTTGGTGGGGTACACACAGGACTTGGCACTGTGGTGTGACCTCAGGCAACATGCCAGGATGTCCCTGACTGGCCTGGGCTGTTTGCTTCCAGGGGGGACTTGGGCTGCTAGCACGTCACCCCAACCCAGGCCAAGATGGTCCCCACTCACCATGCCGCTCAGCTGCTCCCCCCTCGTACACAGCTGAGACAACCACTTTCCCGACCGGGGAGTCCACACCACCTTCCAGGGCCAGGTCTAAGGCTCCCTCCTGGTTAGAGGAAAGCAGGTATTAGGAGCCAGGTAGACAGCAGCTTGTGGGCACCTGGGCGCCAAGGAGCCTCTGAACAGGGCCACAGTGAGCAGGGGACAGTGAGGCCCCTGGGGAGGAAAGAGGCCCTTGGGAGTAGGGGAAGCAGGGAGTCAAGGCAGAGGGGCAGCAGCAGAGAAGGATGGTGGCCTGCCAGCCCCCTACAAGTGCCCTGGTACCTTCTTGATGCGCAGGAGCCGGACATCCTTCCCTATGATCTGCTCTGGGGTGAACTGGGAGGAAAAAAGTCTGCTGAGGGGTGGGAATATCCTCAGGCCCTGGAGGCCAGTGGACACCCACAGACAGAGTGGACACACAGTTCCAGATCCATTCTTCCAGGCTTACGTGAGAACAGGTCTTGCAAACAGCACAATCCTGGCATGTGGTTAGAGCTTCCCTCTCCCCATTTACTCCTCTCTTGAAGGCCATTTGGAAGAAGCCTTCCAGGAAACAGGGGCTGGGGAATTCTTGGGGCCCAGAACCCAGAACTGACCGGCACCAAGCACCCTGTAACACCCCCCCCCACACACACACAAAGAGTTCCTGGGCTCCCTCCTGGGACTGAGCATTATCTCTTACCATGGAATAGGGGTCAAAGCCTTCCTCATATTTCCGGAAATCCTGGAAGGAAGCAAGGGGAGGGCTTTAGGTCCACAAAGCAGAGGCCTTTGTAGGGAGAGCAGAGAAGAGCAGAGAAGGGAGAGGGTGAAGGGGCCAGAGGTGGGGGAGGTGTAGCTAGGACAGGGCACAGGGAGGAAGCTGGTGCCAAGAGCTAGAGCACCCTGCTCAGGGCTGGTGGGAAGCTGCAGAAGCTTTTAGGGGTGCCCAGCCAGTTCCAGTATGGTCCAGCGGTGGACATCTGTGACTACGGGACACTACTGGTGTCTAAATCCTGGGTGGGCAGACCCTGCCCTCCAGAAGGTTATACCACCAGCGTCAGCCTCTCAGCCCTACCTTACCTCCTTCAAGTGCCCCCTTGAGCCACGCCAGGCCCTGGGGAGAGGGCCCCACCCCTGCCTGGCTGTGGTGCCTGACACCTGGCACTGTTCTCCTGCTATCTCATCTGTAGCATCAGGGCACCCAGCTTGGTCCTCTGGCTGGGCAAGGAGAGTTGAGGAGGTAGCTTCAGGGTCATTATGGCCAAAATTTAGAAACAAGGCAGTGGAGAGAAGGACCAGAGCCAGGACACCAGCCTTGCTCAGAGTCACATGCAGAGAGCAGAGTGAGTGGTGTCATGGGACACTAAGCCTGAGCAAGGATGGGCAGAGCCATGGCTGTGCCCCAGAGGAAGGCGGGTGCTGTGCGGGGAGTGCCCAGAGAGACGATGAGATCACAATGTGTGTCCCTCAAAGCCTGTGACTGGTGCCTCAGGGAGGCTACAGGCGAAGCCCAGTGTGTAGTCCCAAGCTCTGGACACCAGAGGAGGGCCAGATATCAGCAGACGGCTCCCTGGGCACCTGCCCAACACCATCTCCACTACCTTTCACCCTCTTGCTCAGCCCCATAGAGGTTTGGGCCCACATCCAGGCTTGGGGCAAGTCATACACTACAAACGCATGCGTGAAGCAGTCTGCAGCCATGACCCTACAGCAAAGGGTTCCTGCTTGCCGCTGGCTGCTCCATTCAGAGAGCTGGGCACTGGGGCCCTGACCCTGACGATCTGTTCTCTGAGATGAGGCAGAGAGCAGGGCTAGCATCTAACCAAAGAGCAGAAAGCATTGCAGTTGGCTGACCCTTCAAGAGGGGACCCCACTTATCATTCCCAGGCCCAGCCAGGTGACCTCCATCCAGCCAGTGGGGAGGGGACAAGCTTTGACCCTAAGCTTGGAGCCTTGGATGCCCCCCCTCCTTTGGCAATTCTCTCCCTGTTTAGGGCTGTCCCACACCCCGGGCTCTTGGATGTGATGCCTATCTGGCATCAGAGCTTCAAGAGGAAGGTAACATCGGGTTTAAGAGCAGAACACAAAGTTTGGCCTCCTGGATTCAAGTCCAGCATGACACTGGCTACACATCACGGCTACAGTGCCAAGTCTCTCTGCTTATGATTCTCATCTATAAAACAAGGGAGATAATAGCAATTGCTTCCCAGGGTTGTTGTAAAGATCACGCGAACTAATATACATAGCACATTTAAAAGCAGTTCTTGGCACTGTGTGCTTCTAAGGACTAGCTGTCACCTGGCCCTCCTGGCCCTGAACTGGGAGCAACCTCTTTTGCAGATCCCTGTTGCTCCCCTCCTGTGTCATCAGCCTGCGAGTTGGAGGGGCTGAAGAAGCCAGGGCTTCCTGCCGCATTCCCTCTATCTTGGGGTGACTTTCACTGTTGGTGAAACAGCCAATGCAGTGGCTGGTTCTGGACACATAGCCCAGAGGTGAAGAGGGGGCTTGGTGACTGCTGTGCCTCACCAAACAGACACCTGCGAGGACTTCTGTACCCTGGGCAGGTAGAGGAGCCAGGTGGCCACTTCCTTCCGGACTGTGGGGTTAGGTGAAGCCATGATAGGCCAGGAGGGAACAGATGGGGAAGGTGCAGGAGACGCCTTCCTTCTCTCCCAGGGCTACTGCTGGGGCTCATCCTGGCCTCCATGGCCCCGCGAGGGCTCCTTTGCCTGTGCCTCTTAGAGCAAGCAGCAGGACTTGAGGTTTCTGGGGCTTGAGCACAGGATGTGACAGGACTCTGTCTCTCCCCCCACCCCAACCCCTGCCAGAGGTACAGGGCCGGCTGGGGCCTGAGGCTCTCTGGCAGATGGTGCTGAGCAGATTCAGAACCAGCCAGCACTTCAGGCACAGTGGGGTGGACGGGTGACAGGGAGGACCAGGCACGCGATGGGGGAGCATTTTACTTGTCGGAATGCTGTTTGATAAACCACCATCCTCTTCAACATCTCTTGTGGCTGCCAGAAAAAAAAAAAAAAAAAAAAAAAATTCCCCACCACACATTAAAAATAGGTCTCGTCTGCCCCCTGGTGCCAGGCCTCATGGCTGCCAGCCTGTGGCCGCCCTGTCTTTACCCCATAGATGTGGCCTGATTTAGTGGTGTGCTCAATGCCACTCCCACCCCCATCTTCAACTCAGCAGTTTCCCAGGCTTGGTCAAGCAGATACCACCCTGTCATTAAGGAGAGAATGCGACTGGGACACATGAGCAGGCTGTTTAGGAAGCATGACCTTTGCTCTTCGGGGAGCTGCAGGGACAGCTAAAGCTCAAAATAAGTATGGAGCTGTCCCATCCTGACATTTGGATAGAGTTTCTTAGAAGAAGGAATAAAAGTGCTGCTGTTCCCAGCTTGGAGGGGAGCCCCAGCCCCCTCGATCAGGAAGGTCTGGGTTGGGGGGCCTCTCGCCATGACCACTGGAACACACCCTGGACTCCTGGGCCAGTTCCCCATCTAAGGGGTTCCACACCATGGCACACAGGCCTGGGGCGCAGAGGCTGGAGAAATGGGTTTGGCAAGATGGTCATGTGGGTAAGGGCATGGTTTTGGAGTCCAAATGACTTGGGAGTAAGTAGTGAGTCCAAGCCATGGGTGGTGGCACTCACTTGTGATCCCAGCACTCGGAGAGGCTCAAGCAGGAGGCTCACAAGGTTGAGGCCTCAGCAAGACTCTGTCTTAGAATTTTAAAAGTCAACAAATAAGTACAAAGGGCTGGGGAATGTAGCTTTCAGTGCGAAGGCCCCGGGTTCAATTCCCAATATGGGGGAAGAAAGAAAAAATAAAAGTAAGTCCAGGAGCTGTCACTTTTAGGTGGAGCCCCAGGGTGTGCGGTCAACCAGGAGCAGGATTGCATGGGGCAGGTCACCACCCAGTACACACATGTAGACTCATCTCTGGTCAGCGAGAGGGTGACAAGATGACCTCACTCTCTCTTTCTCCAGGGTCAGCAGAACCCAGGAGAGGTGGCCCTGGTTTTCTCCAGACAACCTGGAGGGAACCCCCCAGGGCTTACCAAGACCTCGGACTTCACAGCTGGCCTGTAGATGAAGTTGGACTCCTGGTGGACCATGACAGGCTTGGAGATGGTGGACACGCCAGGGCCCCGTGGGGGCTGTGGACTTGGGCAAAACGTCTATGGGGGTTAGTTGAAGAGAGACCCATGTGAGGTCATGCTGGGGGAGGGGCTGGTCATGGCACACATGCAGGTCCACTCCATGCACATGCTGAGCCTGCCTGGTTTATCCTTCGGAGGTCCTGGCTGTGACCTTTGACACAGAGATGAGAACTGCACTGGCCACAGTGTGACCCGAGGCCACATAAATGAATGAGCAGTCTACAGAATCAGTCACTTGAACCAAAGCCTGGACTGCAGCCTCATCAGCCATGTCACTCAGAGAATACACTTACAAGACTCAATGGCCATGGAGTGCTCCCTCCCTTAACGGGCAATCTCTTTCTTCATAATCCAGTCCTTGGACAGCAGCATAAGGCATCTGCTATTTCCAGTGGCTTGGGCAGAGTATCCAGAGGCCATAGGGTAAGGACCAGGAAGAGTGGCCTTGGGCGGGGAGCTCATACCACCTTCAGCTTTACTTCAGCTCACGCAAGCATGGTGGGAAAGCTGTGCCTGCTCAGGTCCCGAACCTACCCCAAACCCTTTGGGAGGTTCTTATTGACTAAGGAGCCCCTAGCCCAAGCCCCAAAGCCCTTCATGAGTCTCTCTGCCTGCATTTTCAGCCTCACCCTTTACTCCTGTGAGCCTCCTCACACTGCTTGACTTCAGCCTCTAAAGTGCCGGGCCGTCTTGTCCTGGCCCTTTGCCCACGTTCTTTCCTCCTTCTGCTTTGCTTGCTGGGGTCGTAGTGCCTTTCCATCCTGATATCTCATCACAGTACTTGTGCATCCAACATCTCCACCAGCCCTGTGGTCACTGCCTGCCAACTAGTTTTTCTTTCCTACCAGGCTGTCTTGTCCAGAGACCATGGCTGCCCATCTAAGGGTGTTCCTCAGTGTCTGGCATATAGTAGGTGCTCAGGGAATGCGTGTTGACTGAATGAATGACCCACTAGTGTGGTGGGCATATCAGATGATGCCTGGGGGTAGATCTGGCCTCATAACCTTCTGCATGTGGGTGCTCGTGTGGCTGGCCCAAGTGCCAAACTGACACAGGCATCTGTTTCCACTACCTGAACCCTGTGGGTGGCTGGGCCGTGTGAATGTGTTGTCACCTGTGGCGGCACTGATGATGACTTGCTGGGCACATGGGGAGGAGGGGACTGGGCAGGCAGGGGGCCCAAGGGCCAGACTGCTGACACAGGGGCAGGACAAAGCAGCCAAACTGCAGCTGCTGGCCTTCAGGTCATGGACAGCTGTGGCTTTGATACTGCTTATGACATTTACATGAAGGGGACACAAAAAGCAGCCCATCTGGAACTCTGACTCTGCCTTAAAGCTTCCTGAGATGACTTTCTGTCTACTCTGGCAGATTCTTCAAGTTGACTGGTATTTGGATTGCTACTAACAATAGCCAGTGTCTACCCGACATCCCCTATGTGCCTGCCTCCCTCCTCAGTGCCACTGTAGAATGCATTTGTGGGTTTCTCTTTCTGCTTTTGTTTTCAGAGTTTCTGCATTATTTTATTTGACTCCCATTATAGGTAGGTGCCACAAGCATTCCTCTTTTACAGAATGGGAGGGCCAGGCTCAGACACAGAATGACACAGGCCCAGGGTCACCCACCAGTGAGTGGTGGGGCCAGGATCCAAGCCCAGGCAGCTTGACTCCTCACCATCCTTCCTTGCCCTCTATATGTCCCCTGCACCTGTGATGTCCTTCCTTCCATCTGCACTGATCACAACCCTCCAGGATCAGCTCATAACCCTGCGGTGTCTTCAGCCTCCCATCAGAACAAACACCTCCCCCAGTGCATGGCTGGTACCTACTTTGTGGCAAAGTTCCACCTGGGTAACTGCTCTCCCTTTTGGTGGTGCAGTTCTAGAAGGTTCAGGCATGTTCCCTTCTGCCCCTCAGACCACAAGACAGGGCTCAGTCTCTGACCGCAGAATCGAACTTTCTGAGAAAATGCTACTGCCCATGTCTGTGGTGGCCACTTGCAGGGAAGGCTGTGGCCCTCTGTGCCAGGCTAACCCAGCCAACTGCAAACTGACTCCCAGAGAGCAGAGAGACTTCTCCCTTCCTCCAGAGAATGCAAATAGGGAGGGCAATAAAAGCCACTGGGGGGGGCACTGCTGACCATTCTTTCCCCAACTTCCCCATACCCTGCCTGTCCCATGGCTCAGGGAGCAAAAGAACACTTTGTTTTTCCTTAGGATCAAAGCTCTATGTCTTCTTCAGGGATCACCTCTTCCAGAACAGTCTTTGGATAAAGAACAATTAATAAGAAATAGGCCTTTTTGAGAAGATCATCGTTCAATTTCCTGACATCCAAGAAAAACACCCTCAGTCTTCTAACAGTAGATTGGGAGATTTCTATGAGCTCTGGCTTCACTTTTCAGTTGTCTGGGTGTTGGCCACAAATTTCTGAGTATCACACTTCAGACAAGTGTGGTTGGCTAGTGCCATGGGGGAATACTGCCAAGGACAGTGCTGTCACTTCATTTTCAGAGCTTACTAAATCCCTTTGCCACCCTACTTTTCCTGTTAAACCAAAGAGTCATTTCCCATATTCGGGGCTCTCTAGGATAATATCAAGAAATGACTGGATTGCCTCAGAGCTAGCTATTCACGGACACAACTTCCAAGTACCACGTTGTTAAGTTCCGAGTCCACATTACATAGAGCAATGAACCCAGGCATACGCTGCTGCTGCTGCTCACCCCAAGAGCCCCAGCAAGTCACCATGCGCATGGCACTGCAAAGCCAACTGGAACTGTGCACACGCAGGGCACCCACACATGCAGGTTGCAGGTCCTTCCTAGAAAATGGGGCGAGATGCTGTTTCCTCCAGTCTCCATGCACACGGGCAGTGGAGGACTTGAGGAACTGCAGTCCTCCCCAGTTTTCTGCTTCCAAGCATAGCATGCAGATACCTTTGTGGCAGGTGGGAAGCTCCGCTCAGGGGCAGGGGAGCTGCTGGGCTTCCCACTGTGCTTCTTGGCCTGCCAGTCCTCTGATCCACTGCCTGCGTCCCCAGCACAGAACGGGTGATTGCCCAGTGCCTCTTCCAGCGCCAAGGGCAGTGGGCGGGTAGGAGTGAGGTCTTGGGTGGGAATGGACGGAGGGGGTGGGATAGGGATGGGGGGTGGAGTGCGCTGCACCCAGGGTGAGGATGAGGCGCTCACATGGCAGGAGGATGGAAGCACAGGGAGCGCTGGGACCTTGGGAGGGGGGTTGGAGGGTGGAGGGTGGGGCATCACAGGCAAGGCTGAGGAAGTCTTGGGGGGATAGTAAAACATGTCCAAGGGGATATCGTCCAGGTCAGTGGTGTGGAGGTGCAGGCCACCTGCAAAGCGTCTCAAGGGTGGGGCCAGAGGCGACACAGAAGGTGGGGGAGGCGGGGGCCCTGTGGTCATCTGGGGATTGCAAGGAAGGCCATGGTTATCTGTACCGACTAGCACATCACTTCACAGTACCCTGGGTGCCGTTCTTTTCTACTCTGTTTCTCTTGCTGCTGGAGACCCCCATCATCCCCCCTCCACTGGAACCGTGGGTGCCACGGAGTGCAGGGCTGGCCCAAGTCAGGCCATCTAAGTAGTAAGTAAGGCGATCAGGTAGTTTATGTAGAACACACTCGAGTATGTGAGCAACTCTCTTGATAATTATGGTAGGATAACAAGCCTGACTAGACTCATCGCAGACCAGCTGGGACACAATGATCACTCTAGAGAGAAGCCCAGAAGTCGAGACAGGTCTCCTGTCCCAATACAGACGTGTTCCCCTCTCCCAAGCAGGAAGGGCAGACAGGGAGGGCCCTGGACAGTGGAATGGGTGACACTTGCTAGTGACCAATTTGCCTCACTGTCCCCAGGATGGGTCACTCTCATGGCAGCACGAGGGTCTGTGTGGAAAGAAGGGCACTGTTACCTCTGGAATCTCATTATCAGCAGAGGAAATCTGCTCAAGGCGTGTCTGACAGAGCCTTTCCACCCAGTATTGAGTCTTTTCCGATTCCTCAAGGTCTTCCCGCTCTGTCTCAGATACCTGGGACCCAGGACCGAGGTCCAAAGGAGAAGACACAGGATATCTGAATCACATGAGCATCCAACGCATGGAAGCACTTCGCTAAAAGCCCCAGGGTAGTTAGGATGTCACTTGTCTAGAGAAAACCAGGGCACATTCCACCTGGCCCCCAGGGACGGAGGGAGTGGGATAGAAGCTGACCTAAGAAATCTGTTAGCAAAATCAGAGGAGCGGCTCAGGTGCTGCATGGGACTGGCTGGACCCCTGCCTTCCAGGAACCTTGAGACTCTTGTCATCCTCCCAGAACGGTCCTTTTGTAGCCTCCCTGTGCATTCCAAGAACTGAACTTGTCTCTCCCCACTCCCCGCCACAGGCTGCCTTGTCCTCAGAAGCACAAGTTGAACCTTATTTTTAATTTTGAAGCTAATTCGTTTCTAATGCCAGACCTAATGCTTTTCACATTTTCCAGGACTTCTCTGGTTCTATAATCTAATCAGCTTGGCATTCTGATTCATGAAAGCATTAAAGAGAAGCAGACAGAATATCTCTGCAGCTGGGGAGTTAAGGCCAACCGCCTCACCTAGGAAATAACACTGTTCATGCTGCAGATTGCTTTTGACATGTCTAGCAAGGAAAAGTCACAGATACATTTCCAGGTTCAAAGGTCCAGCGTCAGACATAACCCTGTGGGTGGGTGAGAGCAGCCTCAGACTCAGCCTTAGCCTCAGACTTTGCAGCTACATAAAAGGGTTAGCCGTAGCTCATACAGTGAGAGCCAAGCCAGCCTGGGGACACCTGGACTTGGACTCATAAGCTGGGCATGGGACTAGATTGTCACAGACCTCTAGAAAGGTGAATGGAAGGCCAGCATCAGATCTGAAAACTAGGGAGCGGGGTTAGCCTTGCACTCATATATCGAGCTAGCAGGCAAACCTTTTGTTCAGATAGGGATGGAATCCAGGAGTGGGTGGCAGGTGACTCTGGGCAGATAGGAGAGAGGAAGTCATCTTTAGACCCCATCTTGGGAGAACAACACCAGCTGGCCCCCAACAGTGAGGCAAGGAACAAGTGTGTCCCCGGGATGGTCCGCTGGCCTGCGAGCAGGACACATACCTCCTGGGCCAACCGGTTGATCTTTAGCTGCTTTTCCTTCTCCAGCATTTCCTCTTTTTCTTTGTAAAGCTTTTGCTCAAACTCCAGCTCCTTCTTATTCTTTCTCAACTCCTGCAAGCTGTCATAGTTGGCTTTCTTCTTATCTTTTCCTTTCTGAGCAGAGGTGGCATTGTTTATATGATAAGGGTTACAAGGCAGTGTCGATACTAGAACAGCACGACCAACAGCATCCAGTCCTCAGACAACACGGGACAAGCACTCCAGGCTGAGCCCCTCCCTCAGCTCTGCCTCCCTGCCCTAGGCACCCGACCTCGCATTTAGGAAATGCAGGCCACTGCTACCTGCGGCAGGGTGGGAGGCACATCCCTTTGCCTGCCAGAACTGGAATACTAACTCAGTAGCCATCTGTGTGATCTCAAGTCCCTTCACCTCTCTGAGCCTGAATCCCCTTGACTCCAAAGGGGAAATACTTGCCAATAAAGTAGCACCTATCAAAGGGCTTTGTAAACTTCAAAGCGCTGTCTAAATAAAAGGTACCGTATTTATTTGTTCTCTAGCATCTGAAGAGAAAGGTGAATCAGATACCAGTGATGCATCCGAGACCCAAATCTGGGAGAGTTGGCAAATCTCATCCTCAGAAATCTTGTCCCATGACAGAGGAGGTGGCAGCAGTCTCAGACCAGTCTTGGCCCAGAGCCAGGGACAATGGATTTTTGCCCCAGCGTGTAAGCCATTCCATCTGGAGAGTCCAAACCAAGGGCTCCTTCTAGCCTGGCCCCCGCAACCGAGGACTGGCTGGCAACTGAGAGAGGTAGGCAGGGAGGAGGCCTGGCTGCTTTACTCTGGTCACAGAGTTCAGAAGGATTTGGGAGAATGATGAAGGGAAAACAGATACTACTGGAATCAGGCGCACAGAGCCTGCTTTCTACAAGCCAGGGGATTTACCTAACTCCCTCTCCTGCGGAGAGATTGTTCTATTCCCTTGATGAAGGAGCCATGGCTCAGAGAGGTGGGGACCCTTACAGTGTCAGATGTCAGGTGAGTGATGGTGCCAGTGCCAGGACTGGGACCTTAGTCCCCAGTGTTTTGACTGTGCCCTGAGGGGCTGAGGGCAAAGGAGGGAAGGTCAGCCCCCATCACACAGCACTCAGGAGAGGGGATGCAGAGAAGGCCAACTTTCTGGGCACAGGGGGGAACTCCCTACTCACTGAACTCACCCTTACCTCTAAGAAGCCTTCCTGGGTCCTGCTCTTGGGTTTCCTAAATCATCTCAGCAACCAAGGCCAGGAATAAGGAATCAGGGTTCTCAACAATGAACACACGCATTTCATTCGCTGCTGGAGGAATGGTGATGGGTCATGACAGACCCCAACTGGCTCATCCTATCCTACTGGCCTATAAAGACAACTCCTCCTTTAGACACAGATAATATGCTTTGGAAATGGTCACCTCAGGGACCCATTTTTGAGCAGCCCATGAGCCTCTTGAGCAAGTGGTCCCCCTACCTGGTTCCTTGCCTACCCTGCTCACTAGACTCTTAGCTCAGTTGAAAGATGAATTTATGCCAGCATGCTAAAGATTCAGACAGCAATTCTCCAAGGGGAGCTGGAAACATTTTGTCTAGTGGCAGCTTGTGGGAGCAAGCGCATGGCCTCCCACAGGGATCGCCATGATAGGAGTGGCCTTCCTATTGTTTCTTTGAAATCAGTGCTAAGATTTTAGAGCCAGGCTCCTGGGTAGGGCAGGCTGACAGCACACAGATCTTGTCATCCCCAATAAAGTAGCATCTGCTTAGAGACACAGAGGGCAGGTTGGCCCACAGCATCGCCTACGGAACTTCTACAGCCTCCATGCACTAATTTAGTAGTGTGGGTATCTACCTCCTGTGCCAGACTGGGCTCCAACAAGCAGAACTGCTCTGCATGTCTTACTCAAGCAGTTCTGATGAAAAGTCTTAGCCAGAACCCAACATCCTCCAGGTCCTGGCATAGACTTTGTGGTACTATAGGTTGGAGGCCTTGAGTCCCACAAGTTCTCACTGTGAGGGAGGGAACAGAAACACCGAATCTTTCTCTTTTCAGATAAGAGGGGTTTTCTGCATTGATGGTCATGGCCAGGACAGCTCTACTGGGGATTCTGTGCTCCAGCTGCTGGGAGGCAGAGCATCTCTGTGGCTCTAGTCAGTGTGATATGGGGTTTCCAGAGGCAGTGTGAACAGTGTCACTATGCTGTCCTTTTAGCTGTCAGTTTTAAATCCATGACAAACAGTCTTCTCAGTCCCAGCTGTGAGGCACACAGATGGTAAGGTGCTGCTGCTTCTACCTAAGAGCAACTGTTCTCTCTTTTGGAAAAAAAAATACCAAAACACTAGCTGCTTCTGAAATGACAGAGCTAAGGACCAGGGGACAAACAGCCTTATCTCTTTACTAATGGGAACTTTCAGGTGAGGTCATTTGTGATGTGTATGTGCAAGAGAGTCTAGCTCTTTCACATCTGTACAGCTGTTAGGGCTGGAAAGGGTCAGGTCTACCTTTCTCCTTTTATTACCTTTCCCCAGTGAAATCTCACTGTGTGTGCACGTGTCTTTTTCTGTCCATATGAGTTCTAATAGAGATGGTACATAGGGAAGACTTGAAAACCCAACTCATCAAGCCACTCTAAGCCAGGAGCCAGCCTGTAAGATGAAAAGGACAGTCTTAAGAGACCAAGTGCTTTCTGAAACCAGGAGCATGCTGAAAAGCATCTCCAAGGAGCTTTGTCCTAGGTTTATTCACTGCTACATAGGTCATAATCTGCTGCTCACCTGTGTCAGGAATCTTGCTGTCTGCTATCTTAATGGGAGTGTGTTGGAGGAAGGAAGATTTTCCTGGCACACCTAATACTCCCATTTTAAAGGGAGGAAGAAGTCATGGATCACCAGAGTCACCATTCTTTAGGAGCTGGTGACCAATTTCTTGCCAGAGAGAGCCAATAAAGGGATAATTTCCAGTTCCGCTCATTCAGATTTATGCCAATGCCTAATTTCCAAATACCGAGCCATCTTGAATGTCAAATCTACAGAACTTAACAGTGGCATTTTCATAATCAAATGCCAAAGTGATTTAGGAAAGACAAAGGGCAAGAGAGTTTTATGAGACCTGGAGATGCTACAATAAGATTTAGAGAGAAAATTAAAGTTCTCTGGAGATTGGAAAAATGCATGATGCTGGACACACGCAGAGACAGCCGTAGCAGAGTTGGGGTTGGTGTCCTGGCCAGGGTTCCAGTTCTGGTCCCAGCCAGGGCAGCAAATCCCCTGTGTGGTCAGTCAATCTGCATTTGCCACAGTCGGTGTCATGACCCACACTGCTATTTCACACTGTCCAACCCTGGTCATGGGCCCTGTTTTTTTTTTGTTGTTGTTGTTTTGTTTTTTGTTTTATTTTTCAGAACTGGGGATTGAACTTAGGCCCTTGTGCTTGCCAGAGAAGTGCTTATTCCCCTGAGCCATCTCCCTGGCCCCCCTGGTTCTACTTGATAGAAAAAGGAGAAGCTCCCTGCCCCTGGCTTGTGCCACAGGAGCTGGTGCGGACCCACGCAGAGGCTGACTGTCCCTGGGCAGGCCTCACTTTAGGGACATCCTGCAGAGCCTCTGTAATGACGCCCTGCCACGTAGCAGCAGCTTGACAGCAAGGCACAGAGGGGATTCGCTTCTCAAGCAAACAGGCCGGGTCACACCATTCAGGAAAAGAGATGTTTGCAAGAAGCCACCACCCACAGCAAACTCATCTGCACACTGGCACAGCACCCAGGCCTGTCCTACCTTTCGGATGGTTGGGAATTTGCCATCGTAACGGTAAAACCACCCAAAGGCTATAAGAACACATAGAACAGAATGGTAAGACATTGTTCAGCTGGGCCAGAGCTTCTGTGGCAGCAGCTGTGAATGAGGTCTCCAAAGAACAAGTGGCTTTGCGAGATAAAGAGTGGCAATGGCGGATGCAGCCGCAGCCCTGCACCCTGTGCCGCGTTCTCCACTTACCTGGCCTCACCTGGGGCAAAGCATGTCCAACACGACCCAAGAACAGCCCATTCCCAGGCTCTGAGCCCCTCTCAAATGGCCTCCCCCAGGATTCTGGCTTTCAGAATCAGTGCCAGAAAAGCTGAGAGTAAACTCCTCGTGGAAGCTTTCCCAAATCCCAGACATGCTCTCCAAACACAAAGCCCCACTGAGAGAGAGAAAGTCGTCTCCCTCCCAACGCCTGGGTCCTCCATCCAAAAAATGGCTTGAGACAAAAGCGAGCCTGGGTCTCTGCCTAGAATTGCTATCAGGCAGAACAACACTGTCCTGTCTCACACTGCAGAACAAGGGGACCGCTTTCAACATGGCAAGCGAGGCAGGGGCCAGGTCAGCCCAGTAAGAACATGTGAGCCGCAGTGGGCAGATGATGTACCCGCAGGAAAAGCACATCCCCATTTGGAGCAGAAAAGCAGGGACAGCTCCCTTCTCCCCAGGCCACTGCCTGGCAGGGCACTGACCCCAGACCTGAGCACCGTGGAGCTGGGGTTCACGGCATAAATGATCGCCCACCCTTGACCATCTGAGTGCTGGACCAGGCTTTTGAAAGCTGCTGTTGGGCCAGGCACTGCCTCCTACATGCTGGATCTGGGAGGGGCCTAAGGAGTTTTGGGGGAGAGGGCAGAGCAGCAGAGTGGGGGACTCGGGCTTGGGCAGTAATTAAATATTTAAATCCGAGGTTCATTTGCACTGCTGTGCACCTGCTGACTTATCAGCCTGGCCACAAGTCTTGTCAGGGCTTTATGTCAGTGCTTGGAGGAGCTTCACAAGCTCCAGGGGTCCCCACCATGTACCAGCCCCTCAGACCCCGGGGTGTGCATTGCTTTAGGAGGCAGGGTGCAGGGCAAGCAGGGCAGCAGGCCAGGGGGAGAAGCGGGGGCGCCAACCTGCTTTCCCTGCTCCTCTGTGCCTCCGTCCAGGTTGTCTGCAGGCTCGAGCTCAGGCTCTGCTCCCTGATCATCTACCCCAGGAAAAGAAGAAGCTGGTGAACAGGAAGGACTAGGAGAGACAAGGCCAGATGAGCTTCCAGGCAGGACAGGAGCCTAAGACCAGCTTCCTCGAGGGATGCTGCGAGGTCCAGGCTGCGACGGGGGCCAAGCTCTGGCTGGCGCCTGCACTGCTTTCAACCTCAGTAGCTTTGGTGTCTCTATCTGTAAAATGGGCTAACAGTTACAGCTTTGATCACCACTTGGCAAGGTAGTGGGTTGGAAGTTGGAGGTGTGGTGAGGGTAAGAATATCTGGCATTCTAGCCCTTTGAGGGCAAGGGCTTGCTGAGGGAGAAGGGATCATTTTGCCTTCTTTTCCCCATCCTTCCCTTAGAGTCTGGTTCCTCAGCTATCTGCACTATGTCCTGAGGTTGTGGTAAGATCCCAAAGGCAAGTGGGCACATGTAGTTAGGACAACAGGAATTTGGACATCAAGTGTGCAAAGAGACTAGCATGCATTGTAGTTATTTCCAACCTGGCTTCTGGTCTCCCTGGGGCTCTGGTAGGTTGTATACAAGCCTGTCTGTGAAATGCTTTTAAATTATATAGGCTTTCTTAGTTTATGAAAAGGTTGTATGTCAGGGCTGGGGAGATGGCTCAGTGGAATAAACACTTCCTTGGCAAGTGCAAGGGCCTGAGTTCAATCCCCAGTTCTGCCAAAAGAAAAAAAAAAAAAAAAGAAAGAAAGAAAAGGCTGTATGTTAAATTTCTTTGCTGTTTGGCTTAAATCATGTTTATTCAGCAGTTCAAATACTGATGCTGTCTTCCCAACAAAAGATGCTCGCTTGCTAATAACACAAGGGGAATGTGCAGGATTACTGCATAGATTGGTAGAAAATAATAAAGACGTCAACTTCCAAATCATGGGTCTACTGCTGGAGGAGAGTGGAGGTGGTTCCCAAGAGACAGAAGGCTGGAACAGTTCCTTTAAGCCTTACCCCTAAATGCTCCTTCCAGCTTTGGGGTCCTTAGTAAAGATACTCCACCCTAACCCTGTCCCGATCCCTAAGGGCTAAGGACAGGTCTTTTAGGGGTCTCTAGCAGTACATTCTAGCTCTGAGAGCTCAGCAGAATATTGGGATGTTGCTGGGTCAGCCAGAGATGGGTGGGCAGAAGCAACTGTGAGAGCCCCTGGGGCAGCTGGTTGGGGGAGCAGTCAGTCCCACCCATACCCTTAGGCTGGATGAACTCATGTTCCAGGCTAGAGATGGGTCATATTCCTTCCTGTTTACTCAAAATTGCAGGATCCGCAGGCCTGATGTCAGGGCTAACCTGATGGCCAACAGGGTCCTGGAGCTCAAGGTAGTCAGAGGGGCTGGCTGGTTGGGTCTTATGGGCCCTGGAAATGAGCAGAAAGGCGGATCCTAAGAACGTCAGGCTTTTCCTCACTTATCTCCAGGGGCTAACTCAATTGTATGAAGATGGATGGTGGGAGCAATCTCCCCGGGTGAGTGGGGGAGACCAGCCATCAATCTCAGGCTTTGTAATATTGTCTTAGAACACTTGAATCTTTTTTTTTTTTTTTCTGTGGTACCGGGGATTGAACTCAGGCCCTTGTGTTTGCCAGGCAAGCACTTATTCTGAGCTACCTCCCCAGCCCCAGAATACTTGAATCTTCAGGTATTCAAGAAACCTGATGTGCTTAAAAAGCACTAAATAAATAGCTTGCTAGTGAAAGGGTTTTTATTGTTCCTGAGGGGGTGTTTTTTTTGTTTTTTTTTTTTTTGCGAAGCTGAGACCCAGGTTTTACGACAATACTAAATAGAGTTGGATGAGAAGCAATTAAAATCGATTTCTCTCCTTCTGAAGCTCCTGTTTCAATCAGCAGCAGATTAGCTGCCCATCTAAAGCACAGATTGTCCACCAGGAATTTATCTTGAGCCACATCCTCAGCTAATGAATGTCATGGTGGACGCCAGTGGGAGCAAACTTTGTCCTTCTGAGAGGAATGTGAGATGACACCATGCCCTGCTGCCAGGCAAGAATGTGCAGCGAGCTGTTTGTAGTGCATGACAGAAGGGTGAAGTGGAAGCTCTTTCTTATTCCTGGTGGTCTGAGTTGGCAAGTTGATGCCCCTTTGGGGCTTGGGCATGATCCACGAGTGAAGAACTTTTTGGGGGGAGGTTCTGAGAATCAAACTCAGGACCTCGTGCTTGCCAGGCAGGCACTTGTGCTGCTGAGCTACATTCTCAGCCCTGTGACTCAAAGTGAGACGGAATTATCAAAGCTTCCCAAGTGACTGCCACACACCAGAGATGGGGATCCCTGGTTCTTGGCCTCATCTAGAGGTTCTCAGAGTCCAGGCCCTGTGTTCTTGGGAGCGTAGTTGGTTGCAGCAGAACCTGCCCATGCCAATCACAAATTGGGTCAGCTGGGTGAAGACCCAACCAGGGTGGAACTGAGATGGCTGTGGTCCCTGCACTGCCTTGTTCCTGGAGCCCCCACCCATCCACTGGCTCATGAAGAAATACTGAGACAAACTCCCATTTGCCCATGAGTCATGTTAGAAGGTGATGGATGGGAGAGTAGTTGGTGAGGACTTGGACTGACACTGGCGGCGACACTGCAGGGCCAATGAGGAGGGGAGATGGGAAGAGCAGTGGGAGCTGAGGACCCAACATGGTGCAGTCACCAGGCCACAGCTGGTGCCTGCGCCGATCTCACGCTCCTTTTCCTGCCAGCACGCTGGAACATTATGGCAGCAGCCCATGGGCAGGGATACAGTGAAGGGGCACTCGGGGAGGGCAGCTCCTCCTTCTACTGCCCTTCAACCAAGAATCACCAGAGCTCCTTCCTCTTTCTCACTGCTGGTTACACCCCAGCCTCTGTTCAGAACCAGATGAGCACAACTCCCACAAACTAGGGCCATCATCGGCCGAGCTATTCCACTTCCACACAGCTCCCCACCCCCTGCAGTACCCCAGTGGCCTATCGGTATCTGTGCTGTGGGGCAGTGGATATATGGATCAGACCCCCCCCCAGGCAAGAAAGAGGGCAGACAGATCCCGGCACCCTGGCACCCTGCTGGACAGCCTCTGACAAATGACTGCCTCTCCATGAAAGAAAGGTGGCCTAGAGGGGCACAGGCTGTTCACCTGGGGAGGTGATGGCGGGTGGTGGGCAGAGAGGACAGCATTTCTGCCTGGCTCCTCAAGCCTGGGGTCCCAGGAGGGTGCCCTCAGATGCGCAGCGAATGATACATACATTTTGGTTTGCGAAGGGGAACTGGATGCACATCAGCGGTGATGGTTTTAGGCATGAGGAGCTGCTCCTTTGAGCCCCAGTCTTCTTCCCACTGCTTCTTAAACTTCTCTTCTTCTTCTACAATCCTAAAATGAGACCCCTCAAGTGTGACTGGAGTCAGAACCTTTGCAGGCCAACCTCCTGTCTACCAGAGGACCTCAGCAGCCCTGGAAGAGGCTGCACGAGTCTAGTGTGGAGAGTAGGACAGCACCTGAAGCCCGTGTGCTAAACTGAGAGCCAGTTACATAAGGCCGTGCCCCAGCTGCCCTGAAATGACAGGCTTGGCCAGGATTATGGGACAGCTATAAATAAAGGAGGATCCACTGAGGGAGCAGAAGGCCACACGTGGACCAGAGAGTACTCACTGTTCCATCTCCTTCCGGTACCTCTCGTTTTCCTCCGCTGCCTTCTGGGCAATTTCCTTTCTCCTTCTGCAACACAAGGGCAGGGTGGCAGGTTGAAGTCTACACAGGAAATGTTAACTCTTCCTGTGGCTGACTCCTGATGTGAGAGAAGTTTTCTGTGGTTTCTCTAGCCTCTCTTTCAAGCACGCCTGTACCAGCCTGGGTGCAGGAAACCCAGCCAATGCAGTTGGGGCCCTGGGCTCTGGGTGGTTTTGTCTGGCAGAGCTGGGTGGCAGACCCAAGTAAGGGCCACTCTCCACACTTTCCCCTCCAAACTCTTGGTGACTGATAAGGCCTGGGCTAAATGAGTTGTCCTCAGTGGAGGGATCAGACCCTAGGGTAGAGCAGGGGCTGCCAACCAGGTAGGAGACCCTGGATTGTGTTCTTATGCTGTGGTGGGAGAGATGGGGCTATCCTCTCTCCTTCCTTTTCCAAGTGCGTATTAAACTGTGAATGTATGCACACTTGATTTTTTTTTTTTAAAATGTATTAGTACCGGGTCTACAGGGTCTCACTACACAGATCAGACTCATAATGATCCTCTTGTTTTCAGCCTCCCAAGTACTGGGATTACAGGCATGCACCATCACACCCAGTCTCAGTGCGCCCCAGGGATGGGGCTTGCCCCGCACACTGGAGATTGAATCCTGGTCCCTGTGTGTGCTAAGCAGGTGCTTTAATCCACTGAACTATCTGGCCAGTCCTTACACTTGAATTTCTACAGTAGGTTACTCTCTCAGTCCATCAGTTTAACCACCTGGTGGGGGAGGGCTTGTCACCACAGGTACATGGCCCTGTGGGGACTGCCAAGCTCTTGAGGCAGATTATTGGGGAGGGAACCAGCTTGGCCATGTATGACTTTGGACACAAGCAGCTTCCACTCTCTGAGCTCAGCCTTCTCATCTGAAAAAGAGGTTAATACCATTCACCTCCCAGGGCTGCTGGGGAATTAAATGAAGTAATATAGGCAAGGCCTTAACACAGCGCCAGCCATACAGTACACGGAAGATGTCACTGCTAGGAGCCTCATTTTGCAGTTCTGGAATCTGAAAATCAGGTGGATGAAGAGGGCAGGTGCAAGGGGCAGGAGGCAAGGGGATGAGGCCAAGGGGTCTGGTGGGGGGGGTGTCTGGGGCCCTCGCCTGCTACTCACTGCCGCTCCATCTCCTGCTGCTCCTGGAGGATTTTGTTGGACTCCATGGCCAGCCGCTTCTGCATCAGCAGCTCCTGTCTCTGTAGCTCACGCTGCCGTACCTCTGCCAGCCGCTCCCGATCTGTCATGAACAACTCCCGGCCCTTGTGGGGTGAAAAGAGGCTCAGCTCCCTGAAGAACCTGGGTGTCCACTGTTGCAGCCTTGGGAGCCAGGATGTGGCTGTCTTTTTGGTGCCGTGCCCACAGGATCAGCTGAGTCCCCAGTGGCCTCAGATCCAAACTTCTCCTTGGGTAGAAGCCCCTTCTCTTTGTGGTCAGAGTTCAAGGAAGGACACCCCTTGGTCCTCTCAAGAAGTAGTGGCAGAGATTAGGGGCCAAAGGGGCTGGGGCTGGAGGTCAGGTGTCACAAGGGCCCCATCATCTTATTCTGAACTTACAGCTCCAGCTACAATGGAGATGGTCAGGCTGCGGCTACTCTTCAGTACATTCACAGCCTGTAAGGATAGGGGGACAGTCAGCTGGGTCCTGACACAGACTGGAGGAGCCAGGCAGAGAGAGCAGGTGGTTTTAGATGCCACATCAGTGGTCATGGAGAGTAGGCTGGGGCGACAGTAAGGGCCACACGTCTTACCTCCTTGTGGTCCAGGTTGGAGAAATCAATGCCATTGACTTCTACAATCTGGTCCCCTGTCTGAAGAGAAATGGAGAAGGGTCAGTGTGTCTGGGTCACTGTTGCACTCACTTGTCTGTAGAATGGGCTCCCCTGGGGTGCGAGGCTTAGATGCGAGGTCTTCCTAGTAAGCAGAGCAGTTGGAAAGCTGATAGAGTATCTGGAATGCATCCTTGCCATCCCCATTCCCTGCCCATTATAAGGGCTATCAAATCTTATGCTGTGAAAGGTTAATTACTTGGCTAAGTTAGGATATTTGCACTATAAATCTCAGTTAATAGACACAAGAACCTTTGGGCTTCTCATCCAGCAGAGGCTGTGTTGGGTTATCATCATAATAATAGTTGTAATAGCTACCATCCATTAAATGCTTACCATATGCCTGGCATGATTCCGGAACACGTATAAATTAATTTAATCCACACAAAAACCTTAGAAGGAAGATTCTAGCATTCCCATTTTATAGGCAGGGAACAGAGACATGAAGTGACTTATCCAAAGGGAGGGGGTTAAGAGTTCTAGCTCTGGCATCAGGTACCTAGGGGTAAAGCCCAGCCCTACCTATTAGGGACATGATTTGAAAAAAGTCACATCCTTTCTCTGAGCCTCAGTTTCCTCCCCCGTGAAATGGGTGTAACAGCAATGCCTAATCCTAAGCATTCTTGTGAAGTCTAAAAGGCTTGGGAAAACAAGTAAGCCCAGGATGTCAACTCTTGATTATTACCACTCCATTCTCAAACTGAGGACCAATGACTTCCAGAGCTGGAGAAAATTATAAGGAAATTGAATGTCTCCTCTTCTGTGGGCCATGGGGAGGAATCATCAGCCAGTGATGGCCAGGAGTGGGCAGTGTGGGGAGGCAGAGGCACTGTCCATGTGCGCCCCACTGCTCCGGGGCTAGCTGGCCCACTCACCTCCAGCCCCACCTCCGCAGACAGCGAGCCAGGCTTCACTTGGCTGATGAAGATGCCGGGTTTCTGGATGGGGCCGCTGGAAATGCTGCAGGAGGTGGGAAAATGGGTGAGGCCTGCCTTCTGCTGTCTTCACTGTTACACCTGGCATCCTCTGCTCGGGTGTGCAGCATTCAGGACACACCTGACTCACAAGCTGAGGACCCAAGGCCAGAACTTCTGTCTCACTCCCAGACCACCCTGGACGACAGCCACAGTAAACTGCTTATAACCCCCCCGCCCCCGCCAGCCCCTCATCAGTACACCACCGAGGCTGTTCCTTCTCTTTCTGGTTCATTCCCTTATGACTCAAATGCTATCTTCTTCCCTGCCACATTTTCGAAAGACCTCTTGTTCTGTCCCAAGATTCAGCTTGCCCCCTCCCCAGTGCGGCTAAAACTCTATGGTAAGAACTATAGGATGCGTTGCTTTCTGGCTGAAACTTGTGGCAGCCATCACTAATCAATCACAGCGCTCTTTCTGACTAGCTGGGCCCACCCTTAGAACCCTCTGCAGAACAGCATTCCAGGTGGCCACCTACTGGTTGATTAGAGGCGGCACAGATAAGAAACCTTTTTGTCAGCCCTGACCAAGTAGTAGTTCCATCAGAGTCCTTGTCGCCCTGTATTATAATCATTGATGTGTTTGGCTTCTGAATTAAGGCTGTCATTTCCCTAGATAGGAAGGTTTTTAACAAATCACTTGTAAGTCCTTTGTAATAATCCTGTGTTGTGGATATTATTAGCCCTAATTTATAAAAGGGAAAGTGAGGCTCAGGGTGGTTAAGTATCTGGTCCTGTGATCCATGTAGTTTGTGGGTGGCAGAGGAGGGCTTCTCTGAGAGGTGAGTGGCTGCAGCACATTACCAGGGCTCCTGGGATGGCCCACGGCCTGTTTGGCATTGCCTGGCTGGGGAAGAAAGGTTCTACAAGGAACGCTCTAGCCTTCCTACTTTATGGGAAGAGCCACAGGAAGGATGCAAGGTTATCAGTGACAAGGGAACCCTGACAGAGATGGCCAGCTGGACAGGACAGGATCTTTTTATAGTGACCAGAACCTCTGCTCCTCAGCCTCAATTTTCTTATCTACAAAGTGGAGCCTGCTAGAGCTTCCCCTGGGGACCTCTCCAGCAATTGTGATGTCCAGAGGGGGAATCAGGCACAAGAAGTGTCATCAAGAAGATAAACCTAAGTAGGGGACAAAGGTCCTCAGGAGAAGCCTTGAAGAAGAAGAGAGGAAGTAGGGCCTGTTGGTGTCTACGGTCACCATGGAGACCCGGGTGCTCCTGCCACCCACCTGCAGCCAAGGCCCCGGGAGCCCACCAAGCTGATGAAGACCTTCTTCTCCTTGCAGGCCCGATTCCCGGGGGATCCCAGGCTGCCCAGCCCGCCCTGGAAAGTGGATAGAAGCAGGGTCACTGGGTATCCACATGTCTGCAAGTGGGCTCTTGAGCTGAAAAGATCTTCAGAATAGGCACTGCTGAATTCACTCAATCCAGATGGCCTCTCTGTCCCTTTGGGTGGGGGCTTGGACCAGCTGGGCCAGCTGAGGGCACATCACCTAGAGGGGCTTTCTGGGTAACTCAGGGGCCTTTGAGAATCCTTTCTAGAGAAGTTTCTCCTTCAGCACTCCCCTAGGAAGACCACCCCACCTAATCCCCATCACAGGTGACCTTGGCCCTTACCCCTGATTCCGACACAAACTGATCCACATACTGCCATTTGAGGGGCTCGTCTGGAGAGCTAAGTGAGGGGTATAGAAAAAGGGTAGTTATTAGTGGGAGATGTCTGAGGGACCAGACCTCATGTCCTGCATCTGGATCCTCTGTCCCCACTAGCCCAAGGTCAGGGAAAGCCAGGCCCCAAGACTGCTTCCAGGACCCTGAGCTGGAAAGGACCACCACAGAGGAGGGTCCTGCTCACCTCTTCACAGGGATCAGGCCGATGTCTGTGAGAGAAAGACACTGGGGTCAGGATGGCTCCCCTGCCATCCCTTTGGGAACCCCGCTACCTACCCAGCTTACCCAGCCTCACTCACGTCTCACTTTGATGGCCACAGTCTTCTTGGTCCGGATGAGGTTGATGACCTCCTCATGGGTGCAGGAGGAAATGGAATATCCATTGATCCGGACGATCTCATCCCCTACCTGGGCCACAGCGAGGAATGGGCATCAGGAATGTCAGGCAGTGGGACAGGCCTGCCACCCGATGCTTGTGGCCTTCTCCAGAGAAGGGACCAATGGCTGCACCATCCCTCAGACTAGACTTTGCCTATGCCTCACCACAGCCAACACCCCTCCCTCAGCAGCCAACACCCCTCCTCAGCCTATGGGATCCCAGGGAAGGAGGCTCTTTCAAGTCCCACTTTACAGATGGAGAAACCGAGGTGGGGGATGAGGGGCTTAGTGGGGGGCAGTAGAGTAGGACTCAGGAGTCTGTCCCCTCACTGTGGTGTCCCTTTTGCCCCACTGGGACACCTTCAGGCTCTAGAGTCTGCACAAAACATGGATCAGCCCTGCCTAGCCTTTGTCCCACCCTCACCTGAGGAGTAGGCTCCCTGCCTGTTAGCCACTACAACACCGGAACTAGGTCCGCTGGGGATCTAGGACTCTCAACCAAGCTCACATTACCAACAGGATCCCTTTTTTCCATTCTATAGAAACATGATAAACATTTTAACTTTGCTGTGGCCTTGACCTCTGAATTCCTATTCTGGGAGCAATTAAAGAACAGTGACTGGGCCCAGGGCTTTAGCATCTGCTGTTCTGGGCTCAAGCTCCTGCTTTTATTCTTACTAACTCAATGACCTCTGTTTCCCTCATCTATAAAACATGTAATATTGTGGTTGCTGGGAGAATTAAGTGAATTCATGCACACAAAGCCACATGTACCTGGCACACAGAAAGTGCTCAATAAGTGACTGTACTGTTATCTTAGGTTCAACCCCTAACACTTTGCTCATATCCCTCTTCTTACAGTAGTTTACACCACAGGATACAGGAAAATGGGGTCTTGTGTGCAGATGCTGGTGACCACACCTCTGCTGGACACTGCAGCTGCCTCCTCCAGGCATTTGGGTCCTGAAACCAGGCCTGCCTCTGAGGGTCTTCTGGTCTACCTCCCAACCTACAAGGGTCCTGCAGTCATTTGTCATTGTTGCCACAGGCCCCTCCCTTCCTCTCCAGAACACATACTCCCATCTTTTCAGGGTTCTGATGGGAGTAGTGAGGGCTCAAAAAGCCACAAAACATGGAAGCTGCAAGATTCTGGGCACACTGGATTCACAAAGACTCCTTGCACTTGTTTTCCACAACCCTGTAGGGTAGGGATTTGTGTTTCTGAATCACAGGAGGAGGTAGAGGCTCAGAGAGGTGAAGTGACTTGCTTCAGGGCACCCAGTAAGCAAACAGCATTGCTGGGATTGGACATCTGTCTCCTTGGCAGACATCAAACCCCTTGTCTTGGTGTCTGGAAACAGAAAAGAAGGGCACATGGGCAAGCATCCCTGCATCTTGCCCTCTCTGGACCTCTGCCATCTTTCAGAGCCCTCAAGTACCACTGGAAAGCAGGGATTACTCTGTCCAGTTTATAGCTGGGCCAACCAGGGCAGAGAGAACATCTCCTAGGCCTAAAACATACAAGCTGTATAGCACAGGCTTCCCTATGCAAGGCAGACGACAACAATAAACACCGAAGAAACTTGAAAAAAATCTAAAGTAGCCCGCAGGAGGCAGGAATAGTAGGCTGGAGCCTCAGGCCTAGGTCCTACCAGAGCATCCCTGGCCTTACAGGGGACCCAGCCCCACAGGGCAAAGCAGCATAGGTTCTCCAGCCCAGCCAGGCTGAGTCTGAACTGTCCTTGCTTTCCAGAATGTTCTTGGTGCTCTCATCAAGCACAAGCTCTCCCCTGGAACATGAACCAGGTGAGTCAATGGATGCAGCCTTCTTCCCAAGCTGCTCTGAGGCAAGTTCCCTGTCTTGTTCCTAAAGGGAACTAGCCCAGATCTCAGGCCTTGTAGTTCCCACACAGCACCCAGCTTGGGTTGCAGGATCAACTTCCCTCTCCTCTTTGCTGGGTGTAGAATCCTGCAAAAGGCCTTTGTGTGGGGACCACAATGATCTGACGGTCTGTGGGACAGCAGGACAAAGGAGAGATGAGCGCAGCAGCCCAAGAAAGGGTCGATGATTCATAAGCCTGAGAAAGAGCTTGAGAGGGTAAAGTTGTAATTTCCACTAAAATGCCTGCATGGCCCCAATCATCAGGCCGGCGGAGAAACACTCATCCTCGGAGGAGAGCTCGCCCACAAAAGAGGGCCTCAGCCAACGCCAAGAGAGGAGTTCATTATGTTTTTGTCTCCGGCTGCATTTCTGGGCTGGAAAATGTGCCACAGAGGAAAGAAATAATGAAGAGGCTGAAATTTCAGATGCCGTCGTCGGCAAGGCGAGCCGTGAGACGGGGTTTCAGAACAAAGCAATGTCTGTCAGCTCCACATTTCCACCACAGCCCCCTCCTTGTCTTGCACCATTAGCGCCTGAGCCCCTTCAAAGCCCCTGGCTTGGCTGCTCAGTGGGGTGTTGATAGCAAACACCAAGCTCTGGAGGTAGGGGGAGGCTCCTGTACCAGGAGGGACAACACAGTGCAGGTCAGATCCTGGAGGTCGGATCCCTGGGATCAGACACAGCCGTGAAGGAACCCCAGGGGACAGACACTTGAGACCCTTCGCTCTATATTAGGAAGCACAGGTTCTAATCCTGCCTGGACCACTGCCTGGCTTCAAGCTGCTATTAACTGTAAGATGAGGATGAGACATTCAGTGTGACAGTGACAACCGGTTGTGTTCATGTTACCTAGTGCACTATAGGTGTTCACAAAATCTTTCCCTCTCTCTGCCTGCTGTCAAACATAGTACTTATATGCCAGGCACTTTAAGCACTTTCTAATATTAACTCATCTGTTCTTTATGCAAACTGATGAAGCACATAGTTTTATTATTATCCCATTTTACAGATGAGGAAATGAAGGCCCGGAGTTAGGCCATTTCATCACCAGCCACATGGCTCAACAAACAGTGAAGCCAGGGTTTGAGACCAGCTTCAGAGTCTGTGTTCTCAAGCTCCACAATGGACTTTCCCTCTCCCTGCTGCTCACAGGTCTACTGTCTGGACATAACCCTATTCCTCCTTCAGGTAGTCAGGGCAGGCAGAAGTGATGGTGCACACTCCAGCACTCTGGGAGTCTGAGGCAAGTTTAAGAGGCTAGCAAGTTCAAGTCCAGCCTGAGCAATTTAGTGATATAGTGAGACCCAGTCTCCAAATAAAAAATAAAAAAATAGATGGGTGTGGTAGTGCATACCTATAATCTCAGACTCAGGAGACTGAGGCAAGAGGATTGCCAGCCTAGGCTACATAGTGAGTTCAAGGCCAGCCTGAACTACACAGTGAGACCTTGTCTCAAAAAAACAAAAACAAAACCAAAAAAACAAAACAACATAAAAGAGGTTGCAGATGAAATACTAAGCTACATAGGCCCTGGGTTCAGGTGCGAGCGGGAGAGAGAGAGAGACAGACAGTCAGTTGCCTGCAACCTGGTTTCAATGGGCCTATGAATGCTGGTCAGGATGTAGCAGCCTCTTGCCTTCCCAAAGGCCTAAGAAAGCTGGTGACCATGATGGAGGAGAAGGTGGGAATTCAAGGCCCGGGTCCCCCATGCCCTGGGCCCCACTGGCTCACCTGGAGCCCGACACTGTCTGCCTGGCCACCTTTGATGAGGTGGGAGATGAAGAGCCCACAGCCGAACTCCAGGCCACCACGCACGCTGAGGCCGAGGCCTTCGGGGTGCAGACGGTCCAGACGTACTTCCTTCAGCTTCCTGCCACAGTGGGGCAGCGGTCAGTAAGGCCCTGGCTCGGGCCTGACAGCCACCACTGCCTTGCCTGAGAGTGAGGAACTCTGCCCTCTGCACCCCTGCCTCTAGCCCGCAGGCTCCCTTGGTACCTGGAGCGCCGCGGTGTCAGCTGGTCATATTCCACCTGGTGCTTCAGCGGGATCAGGGGCCGGATGGCATCAAACAACGGCAGGCGGCTGGGCTCATTGATGACCAGCTTCAGGTCCCCCACAAGCACTGCCACATCCATGGTTCTGCAGAGACATGGGGGATGCCTGGAGCCGTAGCCCTGGGCACATCCTCTGTTCCTCCCTGGGTCCCCTCTCCTGGGGTCCAGGCCCAGATATGAAGGAGAATGCTCCTGAAAAACTCAGAGCCTGGAACTTTGAACTTTGGAAATGCTTTGTTTTCTAAGTAAAAATCCCAAGGAAGTCAGTGAGCTAGGGATGGTGAACTCATTTTGTAGATGAGGATTTCAAAGTCACTGTGTTGGTTTTGAAGTCCAGAATCTTTCCAGACAGGAAGCCTCTGTGTGAGACCTTGCTGCACCCTCTTCCCCATCTCCCAGTCCAGCCTGCTCTCTGCTCTATGCCCCTGCCCTCGCTGTATTCTCACATGCCTTCATGCCACTCAGACCCTCAACATTGCCCACTCTCATCTAATCTTTTTTATCTGCGTATCATTTCCCTGCTCAAAACCCTTTAATACCTCCGTACTGCCCAGAAGGAGAAATCCATCCTCGCTGGTAGGTTCAGGGCCCCCTCATGCCTCGTGGCCTCTGTGTATTCTAAGTCCTACCCTGAGCCCCGCAATCTAATATTTCCCACTCCCACCTAGGCTTCCAGGCTTCTGCTCTTTTGCTGGTGCTGAGCCCTCGTCCTGGAAGCTCTTCCCTGACAGCCCACCTACCATCCTTCTTATCCCTGATAGGCCAGCTCAAGCCTTCCTGCACATCCCTGAGCTCACAGAAAGAAGTGAAAACTCCCTCTAGCACATTCCTGCTTTTACCTTCACTTGGATGCCCTTTTATCATAACTAACTTATGTTAGGTTTCTTGGTGTTTATAGAGTGTCTCCTTCCACCAGGTCATTAGTAACTCAAGGAGAGAAAGTGGATCTTTCTCACTGCAGATACTGCAACTCACATGCCCAGCAAGTAAGTGCACGCTGAAAGAATCAGAAAGCCAGTGCATGACCAGAGGCACGTGCTGCAGCAGCTGGGGCCAGCTGGCATTTCTCGTTCTGTCCCAACAACTGTGCTCTAGTGAGCCCATCTGGCTACTTGACGACCTCCTCTATCAGGCTGTGAGCAACCCGAAAGCTGGGGCTAGTCTGTCTTGCTCACCAACATACTCACTTTGCACAGGATCAGGCCCAGAGTAGGTGCCATCAGTGGCTGGAACAAGTGTGTGGTGTGTGCATCTGATTCCTAGGAGCACCTGCCTCTCTAAGCCCCTCTGTCTCAGAGTAGCCCATGCCAGGGTTCTCAGAACACCCGTGGGAGCGGGGCCCAGGGCACTTACTGGTGGTACATCCGCAGCACATCATAGAGGTAGTCCTTCTCTGCATCATTTTCAATCAGGAAATCCACCTGGAAAATCCCAGGGTAGAATTATACATGTGGCCCAATGTGCCCACTGTGGGCTCAAGGTGGGGGGTGGCTGCTGCCCAGTACACCTGCCCTGCAGCTTCTTATGGCTGCGGGCGTGAGGACAGGAGGGAGGCCAGGGCCAGGTTGCCTGCTACCAGACCTGCACAGTGTACCCCAGGGTGGCCAGAGGAGCACTTCTGCACATCTAAGTGTGGCCAGGCTAAGCCTTGTCCCCAGGTGGATGACAGGTGCACCCACACGCAGGGGTGGACGCACATATGTGCACAGGTGAAGCCCATGTGACAGTGACGCACCCTTGTGGCTTTGCTCCTGCTCACCCCATATCTATGTCACCTGTGTCAAGAAGGTGCCCACTGCCTTACCTGATGGTGGCTGTAGTGCCGGATAAATGCTTTTAGAAAGGATTTGTGCCACTCACTCGGACAGCACATCTTTCCTGTCAGAAGCATCTTGCCACTGAACTCCTCTGTGACATCTATGCCAGGGGGACTCTGCCTTGTTCCATCCTGGCTTAAGCTCAGTTCTGTCCACTAGTCAGCCTCTTGGCCACTCCTTCCCCCTTCCCAGGACTCTGTGTGCTCCCCCACTCTCCCGAAGATCAGGTTACATCATTTCAACTTGGTTGACGTCAGTGGCTGAGACTCCAAGGTCAAGTTCAGGGGCTGATTCCTCAGCATCTCATTCCCAAGGGAGCTGGCGAGACAGGAGTCCCAGATTTGACTGTTTGGGACAGCTCAGTGTGAGTCAAATCTCTCTGTCCTTTTCCTTGGTTCTCTCCTCGGCCCTAGACTGAGGCATAGGACGAAGGTGGAAGCTGGGGGCAGCCTCCAAGCCTCAGAGCAGCATCCTGCCCCAGCCCTTCATACAACAGCTTTTGCCAGAAGTTGCCAGTTTCCACTGCTTCTGTGGGCATCTCAAGGGTGCTGGAAGATCAGGGCCAGCCTGTCCGTCCTAACACAGAGAGGATGTATGGGGCCTAGCCCATAGGATTTCAGCTTGACTAGGAAATGCAGAGATTTCTAGTTTTGATTTCTCCTAAAATCAAGCTGATTATTTCAAGAAAATAAAATACAACAAGTAGGCTACCCTCCACCCAATCATAGTGGGACATTGGCTGCTACAGCCGCCCCTCTCCCGGGCTGCTCCAGTCTAGGAACTCGTGCTCCTCTTCTACCTTACTCCAAGGGCTCCGCAGTGAGCAAGAAGATGGGGTGAATGTGGGCTTGTGTGGAGGTGCAAGGCTGGGCTGTGGACCGCCATACCACACAAGTGTGTACCTTGAGAACCGGTCTCCAGGAACATGGCCTGGACTTGGTCTACCCAGTGGACCCCAGCCTGCAGGAGAGGGTAGGGACCTCTGCCAGATGGGCCAGGATGTCCACATTAGGAGCTGAGCACACACAGATTGGAACTCCCCGAGGGCAGGAGCCAGAAATATCTCAGTAAACCTGAGCATGTCGCTTGCATGCTCAACAGCTTCTTGTTGCCCTTACTGCCAAATCCAAATCCAAATCCAAGCCCTTTATGTTGATTTACGAGAGCCCTGCCTCCTCTCCTGCCACTTGCCTGGCTCCCAGGCCTCCTTCGTGTGCAGCCCACAGCCACACTCTCCGGCCCCAGCGCCTTGACATGTGCTATGCCTTTGGTCCCCAGTTTCCTGCACTCCTGGCCTCTTTCCCAGAGAGGCCCTTCCTGCCCACCTACCTAAACAGAATCTACTCCACCCCTTTAGATGTTTCGACTCTATCAATTACAGTGTGTAACTTCAGGATTGCATTTTTGGGGAATTGCTTCATCTGTCTCCTTTGCTGGGTGGAAAACCCCAGAGAGGAAGCGTGAAGTCTGTTTTACTCTCAGGTCTTCAAACCTGGCACACAGTAAGTGCTCAGTGATGGGGTATGTTCCCCTCCTTCTAGGGTGCCCACGCATTTCAGGGGGAGGAGCCATGGGGAAAAGAGGGGAAGGTGATGACCTTCATAGAGCCCCACTCTGCACCATGGTGCGCCACCAAGAGCCTTCTCTAGGCTTTAATTCATCTGTGCTCCCACCAGCTCTTTGAGGCTCATAATGTCCCCAGGGCTGACTCCAAAGCTTATGTTCTCGCTGCCACACTGCATCCTTGCCACCTGACTTGGACCTTCCAGGTAGAAATAACTCCCAAAGCCCTACACCACAAATTTCCCACCCTTTGCTTTTAAGATACCTTTCATCCTCATTGCTGTCTTCTGTAGGGTTAAAAATAATCTTTTGGTTTGGCCCATAATGAGCAGGAGGACAGAACATCTCTTAAAAGAACCTGTGAATCCCCAGTGTCCTACTACCTGGGGGATACATGCAAACCCCATCTGCTGTGGTTGGAGATTTTCATGCTCTAATTTGACGGGATGGGGATAGAAGAAAAAGACAGGGAGGGAATCCTTTTGGCTAAAGCCTCAAAACTGAAGTCCCCTCTGGTCCTTCTTCAAAGACACACATCCTGCCTAATGAGGTGTACAGTGCAGGAGGGGGACTGGCCTCAGAATGGGGAGCAGAAGGCAAGGCAGACGACAGAAGAGACTGACTGTTTTAGATGGAAGGTGAAGGAAGGGACCTTGTTTTTCTGTCATCCCTGGGCCCAGCACAGACTGTCCAGAGATGGCCTCTGTTCCTGGTCATCCCAGGATCCCGCTCTTGGTGACTGCGACCGGGGAACCCCCTCCCCTGGCACACTGGACCCTCTGGGCCTCACTCAGAGTGTCCCTTCTGCCTCCACACCCAACTGTCCATTTAAAAATCATCTGTCTACCGAACAGCTAGGAAAGCAGATCTGGTTTACAAGGACTGCTCTTTCTGCTCTTTGAATTCAGTATGAATCTAAGTGTAAATCAATAGGAGACCCTGCACATGGAGGTCATTTCCCACCCAGAAATGTCTCCAAGAATACTCAGAACACAGCTCTGCTTTGTTCTCTGAAAATGTACACTCACACCTTGCCCTGAGGCCTTTAAAAGGTATCAAAAAGGAAAACAGAAAGATAGAAGACCTCTGGAAGCATGAACATGGAGAAACAATGCCACCATTATTTAAACTACATTTTAAGAAGGTATTTTAAGGAATTACATACAGCATCCTCTCTTCCTGGAATTCCATCTGATACCACTCCAAGGATCAGCTCTGGGAGGCTCTGCTGTGGCACACACTGTACCATTCTCAGGGCCACAGAAAGCATCCGCACACAGTAGGTTGTTGGCGCTCATTTCTTTCCTCTCTGTCATGATCTTTGCTTCCCTGTAGTACCCAGCACTGCTGTGGGGACCTCACAGTTGCACAGCGCTTAGTGTCTCTGCTGCAGGATGAGCTCTACTCATCAAGTCTAGAGCCTTCCTTCCATCCCCCGGCCCAGCTGGGGCCACCACCTTCCGTGTGCTCCTTAGTACCCAAGCCACAGCCTCCTGGGGGCTCTGTCTCCTCTTGGTTCATTCCTGCTGGTCAAAGGACAGATCCTAGACCCATGGAAGGCAGACTGTCTTCCATTCTTTCACCTGAACCCTACCTTCATTTAAGGAGCAATCCAAGACACCTCTTCTAGAGTTTTCCTGCTCACACTTCGTCCAGAGCCGCCTCACCTACCTCCCTGCCCTCAGCTCCTCTTGTCCAGTTGCTTGTTCATGCAGGCCATGACTGCCAAGTCTGAAGAACTTTACAGGTATTGCCTTTAATCTTCCAATAGCCTGAACTGGTGAACATCGCTATCCCCACCTCACAGGTGAGGAAACAGAGGCTCAGAGGGATGACACAGCTGAGTCTCCAACCTATACCTGCTGGCTTCAACCTGCCTCATGCTGTCTATCCCCTTACCATATACAACTCCTTTGTATGCAGGTGTCCAATACACATTTACTGAGTACCTGCTGTATGCAAGACGCTAGCCTTCCTTTTCCAACTAGACTTAGACTGTTTCTGCTTTTCTCAGTCCCTCTTGGTGTAGGGCATAAGGGGTCCTAAAAGAGCTCACCATTTACATATAAGTATTGGGATCTCTCTCAAACCCTCTCCCTGCTTTCCGTGCAGCATTGGCCTCTTTCTCTGGCTTGTGCTCAGCTGGCACTGTGCTGTGGGTCTGAGCATGTGGTGGGAAGCATCTCTACTGTGGTCAAGCGCAGGCCCTCTGCTTAGGGGCACTGCAGACAAAATCTGGGCTTAGCTTTGGAGCCCTTTCAGCCCCATCTCTTGGATTCCCATGGGAATCGGCCCTCTAGGGCAGCAGAACGGCAACCACACAACATTGAACTCATGCAAATTCAACTCTATATGTACATCTAGCCCCACAGGGAGAAGGAGAGTAAGACCAAATTAAATAATGCATGTTTTTTCCACTCAGTGCACCCTCCTCATGGGCTGTTGTGGAGATTAAATGGGTGATCTACTATAAGACTATTGTGATAGGCTCCAGAATGTATATTAGATCTTTTCCTTTTGCACCCCAGACTCCATCCCCCTGCTTCTGTGTGGGGGAGCATGCCAGGCTCCCATGCTGTCTGGTGTCCTGCTATGTCCTGTCCGTGGGAACACAGGCAGGGGTCAAACAGAAGAAGGAGAAACAGGCGCTCATTTCGGCATACTGACAGCAGAACCCTGGTCCCTCATGATCTGCGGGACCCTGGTGTGCAGCTTCTCCGCGACGCAGGAGCTCCAGCCTGGTCTCTGCACAGCCCTGACTTCCCCTGTGCTGGGACTACTTCCCTGTGGCTATTGCAGGGCTTTGGCTTCCTGTTGCTGGGCTGGGTGTGTGTCACCAGGTCTTGCTCTCTAGCTGCCCCAAACCTATGATTTCCCTCCATGGTTAAGCAGCTTGTTCCCTGCTGGATTCCGGTGAGTACAAAATGTTAGCCACTAGCAGTGGGGGTGCTGCAGCATCTCCTCCCCCTCCATCCCTAAGATTTACCGGGAACATCACCTCCTCTTGCCACACCTGTCCTCGGGCTCTCTCACAACACCTA